GTGACAGCGGGGGCAGCCTGGCTCTGAGGCTCGCACAGCACTCCCTGGCTGAAAGCCGGCTCCGTTTTCCTAACTCGGTTCTGCTGGAAAGGAAAGAAAGGGAGAGCTGATGAGGGTAAAGAGCATTATGTTCTCCTGCTAACAGAGGGAGGAACACGGAGCCCCGGGAAGGAAAGGCCAGAGGAGGAGCCAACCTCTCAGCTGAGTGCCTGCAAAAAGCTCCCAGTCTGTCCTCCTCTGCACGTCTCATGAGGGAGATATTCTTTGCCCCGCTTCCCCAGGGAGGAAAACTGGGCCTCGGAGACGCTTGGTACGTGACTTGAGCCAGTGAGTGGGAACCTCTGGGCATCTTGTCAAAGTGCAGATTCTGATTCAGCAGGTCTGTGTGGGGCCCAAGCGTCTGCGTTTCCAAGGAGCCCCAGATGACGTGGTTGCTGCTGCTCTGGTGGCGACCGCATTGTGGGGGCCGGGCCCTAAGACACAGGGAGGAAGTGGCTGGACCCAGGATCTGTGCTCAGGTCTGTTTGACTCCAAAGTGGTTCCAAGATATTAACCTCCTTAAGTGGCCTCAGCCTGAGCCCTCTGAGAGGACAGACTGAAATCCCATAGTCTCCTGAAGTTAGTCTGGCCCCAGAGTTTTGCCCCTAAAACCTTGAGGGCAGAGTGGGCCTTCTTGGTCTGCTCTGGTCACCAGGGCTCGCTGTGGACACTTAGACAAGATGATTTGTGCAAATACATGAAGACCGGTCAAATGAGAAAAGCCAAGGTTTCATTCAGAGCTTGCTACGCATAGCAAAGGAGTCTGCCACGGTCTCGGTGCTCAGTGGTGGTTAGGTTCCAGGCCAGCCACACCTGGGAGTCAGTATCCCTAAGTCAGTATTTCCCAATGTGGTTGATGAAAGTAACTGCTTGGGGAGGAGGGAGGGAGACGGAGATAGAGGTGCTGGTTAAAAATCCAGATTCCCAGTCTTAGCTGTAGATCTGTCCCTGGAGCGAGGGGCACAGGAGTCTGCATATTGTCAAGCAGATGGGTGGTTCCTGAGATCAGGCAGGTTGGAGAAGCAGCGCCCTGACCGCCTGTCCCAGCTGGGCCATGGGAGTCCCTTGGGCAGGTAGGCCCAGCAGCATCGCTGTGCACACAGGCTGCTCACCGGGGGAGTTTCTGAGTCAGGGACACTGAGGGATTCCAGTCTGGTCTTATCCTTACTGGGGTTTATTCTGGGGGTGTTACGGCTTCTCCACATCCTGCCACCTGGTGTCTCAGTGAAGAAGGTTTTGTGTTGTTTTAATCATGGCTCTATAATTACCTCTGTGTGGGGTGACAGCTGTTACTAGCATCACCTTGGGTTCTCCTTGAGAATTTTTATATTCAGAAGGTGATCCAGCACCTCCTGTGCTGATGTCAGAAGCTGTTAACTAAATAATACCTTTTTATTTTTTTAAGGGGGAGAGAGAGAAACATCAATGTGAGAGAGAAACATAGATCAGCTGTCCCCCCCATGTGCCCCACCTGGGGGACAAACCTGCCACCTTTTGGTGCAGGGGACTTGAAAGGCACCAGGTTTTATAAACATAGTCAATCCTGTCTCCTTCCAAAGAAGAAAAGAGAAACTAAATAAATAATTATCATAAAGTCAATCTGTTTCCCAGGGTCTATATTTCCTTTCTGTCTCATCCACTGCTTTTCCCCCACTTTGGGGCTCTGTCTCCTATGTCACCTGCTCCTTCAGGGGGCTCACCTTGAAGCCTGCTTTGGGGTTCATGGCAATGAGAAACAAAGACTTTTTTGGAAAAGACTTGACTTTTTTTCCTTAAAAAATGTTTTCTATGTGCAGTTTTATACATGCATGCATGGGAAGAATGGGGAGTAGTTAAGGTGTGTGTGTGTAAAGGGGAATTATTATTTTTAAAAATTCTCTTCAATATTATGCTTGAGTTTCCATGCAAACTAGTTTAATAGGAATGGCTAAAATTACAGCTGGACTTTGGTCGGATATGAAAAATAATATCCTATTTGTAAATGTTGGAGAAAACTGAGAATTTCTTTCAAAGAAGGTTGTAGCATCTTTTTCTAGGGCTGACCCCCAGAGTAATCTAAATACTGCTTCGGTAGGTGTCAGAACCCAGCCTGGCCAGGGGCTGGGGGACCTGTCATGCCTGAGCTGGCAGTGTCTTTGGAGCAAGACCTGACATTTCTCAACTTATTTTTTAAAAAAATATCTAAAAGATATTGAAAACTTGGTTACTTTTTTTCACATCATAGGATTTTCAGATGATCTAATAAAACAATGTAGATAATTGTATCTTGAGAAAGTAGCACTGCCACAAAGTAAAGGTATAATCATGAACTCGAGCCTCATCCCAGTAGCACCTGCTGTTCAGAAGGCGCTGAAGTCGTTCCTACCATCTGACTGCAGATCACCGTGGACTCAACATGGGAATAAACGGGAGGTTCTTAAGCTTAATTGGTTTTGTCCTGTTGGGTCAACTCGCAGATCTAGGAACAGGGGGACATGGTACCGAGCTCTCTTAGTCACAATCTTAACATGCAAGATGAGCATTGAAAACAACAGCGGCAGAGAGCTTATGAGTTCGGTTTCCCAAGAATCCAGGTCGCAGAGCGGGACGTGATGGTGTCAGGCCTCAGCTGGGTGTCCCAATTCCAGCAGCAATAAGCTCAGGCTGCCAAGAGTGACTGTCACATTCCCCGCCTCCCTCCTTTTTCTTCCTCCCGTTTCTCGATTCTTCTTCCCATGTAGGCCCATTGGGCTGCCTGTGGGCATCCCCCGAGCCCTGCTAGTGCCACCACTCTGGCCAGAACAGTTTGTCGCACGTGTGCTAGACGTCAGGGTGTCGGAATCGCGGCATTCGGAGCCGTCCAACGCTGCGGTCCCTGCTGTAGGCGACTTACTTTCTGAAGTCCGGGACTGTGGTCCAACCAGCAGTGTCCAGGGTCCTTCATAAAACTGAATCAGAGCGCTGAGCGAATGTTTGCTGCTCCGCGTGTGTAATGCATCGTTAATTACATTTCCTAAAAAACGTCTGGGTGGGTTGGTGGAGCTTTGCTTAGACTCAGGCTGGCACAGAGAGCAAAGGACAGCACAGTGTCACATGTTCTGTTAACACAGGCTCAGAACATTGACTTCACGAGGGTTCAGCAGGATCTTTGACGTGGGGCTACTGAAAAATAGGTTCTCTTTGGAAAGCTTGCCTTTGGGGGATGGCGTGGGTGTTGGCAGCTTCTAAGCTGTTCACCAGATGATCAATGGCCGAACATGTTGACACAATTCACTGCACGGTCTCCCTTGATACATGCAAAACACTGGTTTATTTTAGGACAAAAGAATATATTTCTCAAATTCCCTTTCATTCACGGCATAGGGTTTATGAGGCATGTCTTGTCAAACACACACTCTCCATAGGGAAAGAAAAGTCTCTTTGGTCCACCTGCCCTGCACTTTCTATCCGTGGGGCTGATTTAGGTTCTGAACTGGGTACAGGATGCGAGGAAGGAAAATAGATACTGTTTATAGTAAACAACTGCTCAGACCCACTCTGTGGAGGGAAATTACAGTTCATTTTCAAGAGTGTATTTATACTTGCAAAAAGCTATCACTTTTCTGCCAGAATATTATATTTGCTTTTTTTTCCCCCCATGAATCCTTTTGACGGAACTGGGAAATTGTGTTTCCCCTGGGGCTGAACTGTTTGTTATGTTTCTGATGTGTCGGATGAAGAGCTGGCTGAGCATCGCTCTCTCCAAAGCTCGAGGAAGGTGGGGTGGGGGCGCCTTTGTGGGTGTGGAGGAGGGGGGCTCTACACCCCCGAAAGGAGTTGGCCCAAATAAGATTATGGATGTGCTATGTACCCTCTAAATGGATATCCTGTGCTGGGCTCCCTTTCGTCTTTATACCCAACATTCCTTCTTGGTTTCCAACCCTGTAAACAAAGGCGTGGATGCTTGAGTCCCTGATGGATTGGGTCCGTGGCTTAATTAGTTTAAAAAGACAAAACAAAACAAAAAACCTGCCCTCCCTTCTCCCTTGAGCACAGGAAGTAGACTGGGCCCAGCAAGGATGAGGTTCTTGCGGGGAGGGTAAGAGTGACCCCTTTGAGGAGCTGTGGGATTGGGCTTGTCCTCACGGCCACCAGAGGTGCGCTCTCCAAGGCAGAACACACAGAAAGGCCTGGCCTCCAGGAGGCCCGAAACTGAGCTGATGCCACCCACACAAGACGTCCATTGCGGCAGATTTTATTTTTATTGTAGAGAGTCTAATTTGCCAATAATCTGGGCTAACTCTGGTTGTTGGGATGGTAGCCAAAAAAGCACACCTTTGACCCGTCTGATCTTGGGCTAGCTTGGTGCTGCTCCCCTTCGACCTTTACTGCCTCCCAGCCCCTTGGAAGCTGATAGACCGCCCAGCTTTGTGTCAAGCAGATTTCCTAAACTTGACGTTCTCACACATTCACCTCAGCCCCACCCCGCCTGGGTGGCTGGACTTCCTCCCATTTCCCGCAGCCCAGGCAGTTCCCAGGGTCCACCCACGCGCATGGGTGTGTCTGGGCCCCGGAACCCCCTCGGCGGCTGCCTGAGCTCTGCTCTGCGGATCAGCGCAGCTGCGGAGCAAACCTGAGCACACAGCTGGCTGTACGCAGACGCTTCCCAGTAGGGGTCCGTTGTCGCCTCTCTTGGTAGTTTAATCAGTTCCTTGGGTGCCTTTCATGAGTAGATCCCTGGCACCCCTGTTTTAATAACTGGACAAGTCAAGTTGAGGTTCATTTACTGGGACTCATGGCCTCCCAGGGAGAGGTGGCTTAGTTCCCAGAACCCAGTTTAACATGTTCTTGAGTCATGATCTATTCTAACAAGAAAGAACTTGAGCCCTGGCCGGTGTGGCTCAGTTGGCTGAGCGTTGTCCCATACACAGAAAGGCTACCAATTCAATTCCTGGCCAGGGCCCATGCCCGGGTTGCGGGTTTGATCCCCAGTAGAGGGTGTGCAGGGAGCAGTCGATTGATGTTATACTCTCACATTGATGTTTCTCTCTCTCCTTCTCCCTTCCCCTCTCTCTCTAAAAACAAACAATAAAAATATTTTTTAAAAAAAGAAAGGCTTTGAAGTCTATAATTTTCCCAAACTTAAAAAATTAGCTTTGCAGCAGATCTGGAGGTTTGCCTCTTAGCTGTACCGGTGGGTGAGGATTCTTGTCTTGTGACAACCCACTGAGCCGGCATTGAATCACCCAATTACTGCCAATTCTTTTCTAAATAGAAAGCACTCCACAGCCTCCAGTGGAAAAATTCCGTGATTGGCAGCAAATGTCTAGCTCGCTGGCAGAAGAAAGATTGGCACAAATGACTGTTCTTCGCTTTGATTTCAACTCCAGTGGAAGTTCTGCAGGTGACCCGGATAAAGGTGGCCAAGAAGCCCCTGGGGGAGATGGCACATGTATGCAAGACCTTACTTACACATCCCCCTGAGCCCCAGCCCCCACGGGGCTTGGAGAATAGGCTGCCTTGTTTGGGAGGCTTGGCTGTGCCCACTCAGTCTGAGCAGCATGTGGACGCGTAGGGTGGAGCATTTGAGTCTCGCCTCTGAGACACACGGCCTGAGAAGCCACATGGCCCCTTGAGTGGGCTGGAAGCTTTGTGTTTAGGGCTTTGGTGCTGAGCCAGGAAGTAGGAGAAGGAAGGTGGGTGGGACTGTGTGTCTTAATTCCGCCTCAGTCTTCTCATCTCTGGGGCCAGTACTTAACCTTAAAAAACCAGGGCTTTCCAGCCATTTGCACTAGGTCTGCTTTAGGTGGCTGGAGTGATGGGATGCTCATGAGCCATGAAACGTACTGGAAGACAATAGATTCTAGGGCCCCCGCACCTGTTCAGATTTTTGCTGTGTGACCTCAGGCAAGTCACTGGGTGGAGGGTGCTTTGGTTTTCTCACCTACAAAACCAGGAGAACGCTAGTTGCTTCATGTATTGTTGTAAGGATAAAGTGATTTCAGGGAGCTGACTCAGGTAAGACACATTTCTCCCTAAATTAAGGCCAGTACTTGAAGGATTAAGAGTGTCATTGTGGGATCCACAGTTCAGTTAGCTTTTGCACCCCAAGACGAACCAGGAGCTAGGACTGAAAACTGTGATTGTTCATAAGTTAGCAGACCCGCTGGACAGTGCTCCTCCTAGGCCTTTCTGGGGCAGCTTAGGAGGAGTTTGGTTGGCCCACCATCTGTGGGGCAGCCTGAAGCCTGGCCGTCACTCTTTGCCTTCTGGAGTGACTGGGGTCAGTGTGACTCTGTTGGCCAGCCTGTCAGGCCACTTCCTTCTGCTGCGGCTTGTCCTGGGTGCGGCGGGCGATGGCCTCCCGGTGCAGCCCGTGGCCCAGCACGCAGAGTTCTGGGGGAGACGCAGCCCTGCTGCCTCCCTTTAGTTCTAGGGCACAGGGGCCGCTCCCTGGCTCTGTGTCCTTCCTGGGGCTCTCCTCACTGCTGCTGCCGAAAGAAAGGACAGGCGCAGGTCAAACAAACAGCCCTCTGCTGCTCCTCTAGCCCCACTCCCGTTCTCCATTCTGCCTCTCTGTCCCTGTCTGTCCCACCCACAGGCCTGTGGACCCCTGGTGCCAGGCCTCTGCATCTCTGTATCAGGTTTGCCAGGCTGGCATTGTCCTCCTGTTTGCCCACTGTAGCTGGGCACCATGGAAGCCAAGCTCCTGGAGTTTCGACTGACAGGTTGAGTCCTGTTCTGCTCTCACACCCAAGATCCTGCTGCTCCAAATAGTCACTCCCTCAGGAGCTCTGGGAGTGGCCTTTATCTTGCTTTCTTTTTTAAAGCACTTCTTATTTAGTAAGGGGTTGGCTCAGCTAGCTGATTAAAAACACCACCAACAATAACAGCCCTTCCCCGCCCCCAAACCCACCCTCCTTTGCTCAGCTGTCACTCTCTTCCTGAATGGAGTAGAATGGAAACTGCTTGGCCCAGGACTGGCATTTGACTAGAAGAGACTGTCCTGGCTGCTGGGTGATACAGTGAGAGGGGCTTTGAGGGGAGGGACACCCAGTGTGCATTGGGAGCACAGAATGGAGGTGGTCACAAGCACGGAGCAAGCTTGGGCCAGAAGGGGGGCCAGCTCAGAAAGCCACACTGGCTGTGTGCTGATAGGCTGGCCTTACAGTTACTGCACGGAGGCCGGAGTCTGGCTGTCTGCGTTCAAGTCCTGGCTCTTCCACTTACTAGCTGTGTGACCTGTTAACCTCTCCAATTCTTTTCTGTGTAAAATCAAGATAATAGTAGTGCCCATCTCATAGGGCACTCAAAGGCATCAACATTGGGCAAAGCGGGTAAAGCTCTTAGCATGTTAACTAGTATGTGGTAAGTGCTCAGTAAACGGCCAGCTGTCACTCTGGCGCTGCTTTGTAGCATGAATAGTAAGTCACACCTGGAAAGGACCCTTGGGACCACCCTGTCATACTGCAGGTGGGCACCTGAGGGTCAGAGCCTCTCGATCAGTCACCTTAGGGCCAGGATAAGACCCAGCTCCTCATGTGCATAGACTGGAAGGCCCTTCTCTCTGCGTGTGACAGCACATTCTTGACTATTCCGTGAGCTCTGTCATTCAGTGTGCTCAGCTCTGTGTGGTTAGGCTTACATGGGATGTCGAACCAGTGAGGGACAAGCTCGAGTTTGGATCCTACAGAAATTAAGGTGGCAGGAATGGGGGGGTATGAGGTAGGGGGTGTCAGACTGGCATACATACGGGATTTTCAGGCTGTGAGGGACCCACCATAATACTTAGAGCCAGTCTCATCCATGTTGGAATCTGGACCCGTCACAGGTCCCTGCAGGGCCTGGAGTGATTTGTGGGCCCAGCTCACACCTTACTTCTCTCTGCTCCCTTGCCACGGCTGGCAGGAACGGGAGGGGCATGCCCAGAGGAGGGGCTGTGACACTTGGTGTCAGTGGAGGCTCACTCCAAGGGGTGACAAATAATGTGGTCCTAGCACTGTGTCTTTCCCAGCCCCAACCAGGCTCCAATCTGCATGAAGCTCAGGTTAGGCGATTGATTTTCCTGGTTCCTGAAATTCTACCTGTTCCCAGAATTGCCAGGGAGGCAGTCTGCCCAGGCAGCCTGATCCAGGAAATGGGGGGGTGGTCTGCAGAGAGGCCCTGCCTGAGGGGCCAGTCCTGGCAAAGACTAAAAGCACTGCATTTAGGGGAGAAAGTCTGGACCCTTCTTGAATGTTCACAGTGCCCCGGTGTGCAGAGACCCTGAGACCTGCACCTCTACCAAGGGATTCAACATATAATAAGAGCTGAAGCTCAGTAACTGAGCTTCCTGGGGATGTCTCTAGGGACTTTCCCAGCCCCCTGAGCCCCAAGATCAGGAATATATAAACATCACCATTTTTTCCATAAGAGGGGGCTGTGCCTAGCACCGATGACCTGAAGGGGGTCAACACCGGCTGCAGGCCAGCTCCTCCTGTGAGCCCGCCTGGGCTGCAAGATCCCATGGGTGTGGCTGTAACCCTGAAAGGCCCTCTTGAGGAGCCAGCCTGCTCTGGCTCTGAGCGGGTTCTGCCTCTCTGGCACTGGCTTGTTGGTCTGTCGCATGACCAGTTTCCTGGTGTGGTTTCCCGTATGCAGGAGGTCAGGGAAAAAATGCTTGTCATCTGCAGAGTGGAAGACGCTCGGTGTTCTCACAGAGCGATTTGTTGGCTTCTGCTCCCAGATGCCAACTTTACAGGGCTGAGTAGGGGACAGGGGTGGGGAAGGAGCATTTTCCCATCACATCCACTGCATGGCTCCGAGGTGTGGTCTTACCAGGGGACAGGGCAATGGTTGCAAGTCGCTATGTGACCTTCCACGTGACCTTGCGGAGGTGCCTGGTTATGAATCCTCCTGCCTCTTTCAAGCTACAACTACTCTCCACCCCCTCCCAATATTGCCAAGTACTGAGATTCAGGACATAAAACAACCTGTTAGGATGCCCTTTTCTGAGCAAAAGCCTGAGAGAAGGGCATTATTTTCTTCTTGAACAATTTTATGTTGCTTTCTTATTGCTCCCGGTGTTTTAAAATGTTAGTGTTTTTAATTAATGCCGTTTTATTGTCCCTGTTCTCTCCAGCTCTTCTCCTGAAGGGCACAGTTTTAGAAATCTAATAACTGAATAAGTGGCTGGTGTGAGGCATAATGCATTACTGTTTACAGAGGTTCTCCGATGAAAGGCACTGTGCTGCCGGAAGCTCATTTTAGATTTAAGAAAAGAGCAATGTTATGTTAAGATTCTTGCAAAAATAATCAATACTTCATTTTGTTCAAGGGGCTGGGGAAGTTTATATAACTATAATAATGTACAACTTTCCCAAGATAATATCTTTATTTAAAATTGACTGCCAGGTACTTTGGAAAAAAATTACCATTTATGCCTCGGCAGATTGTGAAGTCTATAACACATGTCGCTCCGGCAGAAATTAACTGCTGATTTACACAACTGAGGGCAATGCGGAGATAGCACGGCCGGTGCTGGTGGAGCTTGTCTGATCTGGTATCATGACACATTGATAACAGCTGCTCTCTAACAAGCCTCAGATTTATACTTTTCCCCAATGCCATGATTCTGGAAAAGCACACTTCTGCATATATTCCGTAAAATAGCCATTTGGGCGTACCAGTCCGTTCAATGCTCAGGCAGGCTAAAGCTTTGACTCCTGGCCTTGGGCAGCCCTGTGCCCAGGCCTGTCTGCATGGCTGGGCCGATGGCATTCGAGTCAGTTGCCCTCATGGAAATCACACTTAGAACTCAGTCTGCCCAGGGCAAGGGTGACAACCCTTCCACCTGGGTGCTGGTGCTTGGTGCTGATGGAGAGTCGATTCCTACTCTCCAGACCTCTGAAGGGGGAGGGGGAAGTGGGGCTGGGTTGGAGGAGAAGTGAGTCCTTGGGGGGGTGGGGAAGCTAACCATTTATATTCCACACCTCCAGGACCAGCCCTTCTCAAGACCTGTCCCCAGGGTGTCCCTGAGACACTTTTGGGGAGAGGGTCTATGAGGTCAAAACAATTTTAATAATGACACTAAGATGTTATTTGCCATTTCTACGAATTCTCCCCTCAATGCAGAGTGGAGTGTCCCTGTCTGCAAGATGTGCTGTCACGGCAGATTGACTGTAGAAACACCTGGACACCCAGCTGTCTCTCTGTGAAGCCGCCCACTACAGAGACCGGCAGGAATGGGAGACAATGCCACTCCTCACTGCATTTTTATAGTAAACTTCCATAAGAATATATTATTCATATTAATTTATATTGGGTTGTGTTTTTAAAAATTAATTGATAAATGTTTCAAACATCTCTTAACTTTATAATACAGAAAGCTAATGGATCCAACCCACATACACAAAGGCTCTTTTGGGTTCTTAATAATTTTTAAGAGTTTGAAAAGGTTCTAGGACCAACAAGGTTGAGAACCTCCCGCCTGGATGCTGCAGGTCTATTGCAGCAAAGCAGAAACTGACAGAAATCAGGCTGCTGGCTCTGGACAGGGTGACAGGGACTCCACCAGAGGGCAAGTCACTTTATCTCTGTTTCCCCACCTTGTAGATATAGGACTATGTGTGACTGGACTGACTTGATTGTTTTAAACTTTATTTTTAATACAGCAGAACCTCTTTTCAAGGGAAATCTCAGGGAATGAGTGACAAATGAAAGCACAGTTGCTCAGTTTTTTGTGGGGGCGGTGGTAGGAGGTTGGGAATTCCTAGACACTTTTTTCTAATTGCCTTTTCCCTTGGAGCACAGTTTGAAAGCTACTGACCCAGAGGACCCTAAGGGCCCAGTGGCGCTATTCCAATAATGCAGGGCCATGCCCCAGGGACTCTCCTTACCTGCTCTGGCCAAGCTGGGGTTCACAGGCGTGGCCAGTGGCACCTGGAACAGGCAGGCGAAGGCGGACACCTGGCTGGTGTTCCGAAGCTGTCCTTCTGACGAAGGGCTGAGGGTTGAGAGCACACAGGGTCATTCCCCGCTGGGAGGCCCCCCTTAGTCGTGGCCCCGAGCTGCTCCTCCAGCATCCTGTGGGGGGCTCAGGAGGGCCCCCGGCTTCAGATGGCAATGACAGGGTGAGTGGGTGGGCTGTTGAGAATGGCGGTTTAGCTTCAAACAGAGAGGAGGTGGCTGGGCAGAATATGGAACATGTGTTCCCAGATGCTTTGGCTGTGGCCACCTGACTGTCTTCAGAATCTCTTGTTTCCTTGTGCCCCTCAGGGGGGGACACTGGAGGGGGTGGAGAAGGGCCAGAGGCAGGGGATCTCACTTCTGTGTGCTGGGTTGGGGGGTTGGAGATCCTGTGCTGAGCAGCTGGGCTCTCAGGGGGAGGGCTGGGCAGCTTGTGCTGGGGTGGCGGGGAAGCTCCTTTCATTACTGTTGCAGGGCTTAGTGCCCTGGGGCTCGCCAGAGGGCTGCTTGTTGGGCTGTGAGACCTGTGCACAGAGGGGACACTTGGCTGAGCAGGTCGGTGAGAGGAGGGCAGGCTTGGGTGCCTCTTGTCTGTTCTGGGAGCCCAGTGTGTCCTCGTAGGAGAGGCCTTCCTGACCTCAAAAGAATGTGGCCTCCGAATTGGTCTGGGCAGGCTGGGTTCTGAGGGCCTGTTCTGCCCAGATGTGTGGCTGGAGTGGTGCCAGGGGACTGCCTTCCGGGGCTGCTTGGAGAGGCTCACAGCCCTGTCCAATGGTGCCTGACCCTGCACCCCACCGCCCTCCACCTCTGGGTTCCGGCTGATTGCAGGCGGGGGGTTGAGGTCCAAGGCCAGCTTTCCAGGACTGCAGCCACTCCTGCTGCCCCCTGGCTCTGTGCTGCAGGGCCTGGTGGGGGTGGCGGTGCTCCTGCTGGGCAGTAGGTCAGCGGGGCTCATGGAAGCTCTTAGCTTCGGGGAAGCCCACGATCTCTGGGCAGGGTCAGCCTCTCCCAGCCCTGGCACATGGGTCCCTTCAGGAGAGCTCCCTGCGTGCTTGCTGCTTTCAGGGGGCTCCAGAGAAGTAAATGACTTGTCCATCAGGATCTCCAGAGGTGGAGGTGGGAGGTGCTCTGGGTCCTCCATTTCACAGTGGAGGTCCTCCCTCGTGGCCGCTGTCAGCAAAGGGGGAAAGGCAGGAGCGAAGGGCCTCCAGCCTGGGCCCACTGCTGGAGAAACTTGGGGCTTTGGATACAAAGGGGCAAGGCCCCTGTAAATGGGAAATCTGGGGGGCATGATGGGGACCCCCCACTTCTTGAGGCTAGGGCTCAGCCGAGAGTCTTTGGACTCCCCTGGTGTCCGCAGACTCTTAGTGGGACTGAAAGTTTCAATGAGTTCCCTGACTGATGTTCTGGTGGGATGGCTCCTGACGTTCCAGTCTATGGCCCTGGGAACCTCCCTGGCCCTCTCCCCTGGTGGGATGGCATTTGGAAGCCCCTCAGCTTTCCGCTGCCAGGGCCGTTCACCCTCAGGGTGGGGACTGCATTTCTGCAAAATGCTCTTGTCCTGACTTGGCAAAATGCTGAAGCCCTTGGTCAGAGATGCCTTCAGCTTGCTGGTGGTGCTGCTCGGGGTGGCCCTGCAGTGGTTGTCGGGCACCTGCTCCCCGCTCCGCCCCTGCCGCTGTGCGCCCAGGGCACAGAACGCTTCCAGCCGCTGGCTCAGGTCTCTCTGCGCCCTCTGCAGCGCCTGGAGGGTGGGCTCCTCCATGTGGCTCCTGAGACACGCCTCTGACTGGGACCTCTTCTGCCTCGTGGGGGACCCCCTGCTGCCACTGAGAGTGCTGGGTCTTGGTGGGACCAATGTCCTCTCCTCCTCCTCAGCCCAATCCTGGTGCCCAGAGGACACGGGGACAAACTTGATCCTTTCGCTGATGGCTTCTTTCATCTTCAGAATCATTTCCTGCGCTCGGGGGCTCCTAAGCCTCCTGGGATGTGGCTGAAACGGGCTCTCCGGTCCAGCAGGTAAAGACTGAGGCCTCTGTGGGGAGTCGTCTTCCTCCTCCCCTGCAGTGCTGCCTTCCCCTTCGCTGAGGGATGGAGCGTCCATCAACCCGGAGCCTTTAGAAAGTCGTGCTTCCACGGAGATCCCTGCCCCAAAGGTGTCACATGAATTGCTTTTGCCCAGCCCCGGAGGTCTGGAGGTGGCATTTTCTGAGCCTGAGATGCAGGGGCCCGCGCTCGCTGCTCCACCCTGTGCTGCTGGCTGAACCTTGGCCGTAGGGGGCCTCGAGAGTGGGCAGTCCTGGGGTCTGTCTGAACCCATCCAGAATGGGCTTTGCTGCCAGGTATGTCCCAACAGCCTGGCCTCCACTGTGGGTGAGATCCCTGGCTTCCATTCTGCAGGCTCTGACGTTAAGTCCCAGCTGGCTTGCTTGCCCAGCTTGTCCACCAGGTGCACAGACTCACTGTCTGCACCAATGCCACTGTCCTCAGAGCACAAGGGTGGACTCTGCACCCCAGGGTCCCTGTGGCCACTCGCCAAGCTTTCCAGCTGCCCCAGAGCCTGTAGGAAGCACTCATCCATACCCCTCTTTGTGCTCAGCTTATTTCCCAAGTGGCTCGCAGTGGCTTGGAGGTAGCTACTGGAGCCCTCCAGGAAGCTACCAGTGAGTGAGGCCACCGTGCCACCGAGTACCTGCAGCCTGCTGACTGTGTACTGCAGAAGCTGCTGCAGGAGGTCCGGCTGCTCCTGGGACTCCCCTTTCCTCTGCGGCCAAGCCAGATCCTCCCCGACTTCCCGGAGGAGCACCTCTCCGTCCTTGGAGATCTCCCCCAAGAGCTGGTTGACCTCATCTGAGCACAGCAGCAGGAAGCTGACCATGGGCTGCAGCAGCTCCTGGGTCCGGGTGGCCTGATGGGTGAGGCGCAGAATCGCTTCGTATTTGGAGAGGCAGGAGTGCAGATAGGTGTACGCGTGCTGGTGGGCCTTCACTAGGGGCTCGGGGAAATCCACTTTGCCTTCAGACCCGTGAGCAGGAAGGGTGCTTTGGCAACGAAGGTCCTGTTGCCTTGACCTGTGGCATTTTGACTTCTTTCCCCACGTGGGGGTCTCCTGGGTGTTGCTTTCTGCACTCTCTTCCCCAGAAAAGGCTGCCCCTTGTGACTTGTGGGAGCTCTGTGCCTTGAATGGAATGTCCTTAGCCATGTAGCTTTGTGATTTGTTCAGCTGGGATGGGGACGTTTGGGTTTCTGGGGTCAGTCCGTCCAGATCTTTCTTTTTGCCTGCAGTGGAATCTCTTGTGAGCTGACAATGACCTTCAGCCATGGTTTGGGTCCACCTGGGACCTGGCTGCACCTCTGTTGGTCTCTGTCCTTGGGACAAGTCCCCCCCAGAGTCATAGCAGATAGAGCTTTGAACCAGCAAAGGGATGGAGCCTCTCTCACTGGCCCCCTGGCTTCCTGGCAGAATCGCTTTGGGCTTTTTAAAAAACTGGATGCCACTCTTAGCCACACTGTTAACAATGTCACTGTGGGAAGGCGTACACCCCATGATTTCAGCTTGTAGTCATCTCCCACCCATTGACCCTCATAATTTCCAGAGAATCATATTTAAAATAGCAGCAGAAGGTAGCCTTACTAGTCCATCCAGGCAATGTCCAGGCCAGAATCCTTTGCAGTCCGTGGTACCATGTCCTCAACTCAGAACGAGCTTTCTTACTTCCCCCGTCCCCCCGGGTAGAGGCTGTGGTGCCTGTTGTCCTGTGTTATTTGAAGTTTTGAACCCTCTGCTGTCAGTGAGCAGCAGGGCAATTGTAACGGCCCTCGGGCTCATGGATTAGGGGCCTGCGTTTTGCTGGAGTCCTGACAGATGCAGAGTGGAACTTTAAGCCTATTAGGTTAATCATGCCCTAGCCAGTCAGCACTCCCCGTGTGTTCAATATAGAACTTCTCAGCACTTACTATCTTGGGAAGTAGATTATTTTTGCTTATGCTTTTAATTCTGTTCAGACGCCTGCCGTATGAAACCTAGAGAAATGAGCCATAATTGCAAAAGGCTCTGGAAGAGACACATTTGTGGGAAAGGAGCGAGGGCTCACCGATTAGAGTTCCAGGCAGAGGAGTGACCTTCACGGCTTAATAAGGGCAAACCAGCCAGGCGGGCTCCAACCTGCTATTATCAGGAAGGCCCCGACCACACAATGGACGGTAATGGAAGTCATGCCTTCTTGTTTGGGGGGCTTAGAAAAACACCCTGACTCTAGCCCTGAAGAACTTCTCTAAATAAGATGGTGAATGAAGAAGGCAAGGTGGCATTTCCTCAACACTGGAAAAGAAGTGAGGTAGATGCAGGGAAGCTGCTGTCCCTGGTTGGGAGGGGGAAGCGGGAAGCTCACTGCCAGATAAAGCTCAAGGCCAGTCACTAGGGACCATAGAGGCTCAGGGACCCAGGTTCTCACAGGTTGAGGCTTTTCATGAAAACTTTCTTGTAGAAATGCAAGCAAAAAGTGGGCAGTGGAGAGCTAGTTGGTCACTAGAGTAGAGCTTAAGGGAAAATTGATTTTTTTTTCAAGTACAATTTCTACTCTATCTGCATGGTGCTCTTGCCTGGGGCTCAGGGTGGCGGCTGCCCTTTAAAAACTCCTTTTGCTGTTTACTTGCTGCTAGTAAAGTAGGGAGAGGGAGTAGGGAGACTCTTGGCTCCTCTCCTTTTAGTCAGTTAGCTTCCTGGTGGCAGAGCTCACCTCTGACACAGGGATAATGGAACCTTCTTCATGGCGCTGTTGTGGGATTAGGTCAATTAATGCTTAAGTGCTTGGCATGGTGGCTGGCAAGTGGTGGGCACTCAGAAAAAAAAAAAAGAATTTTTTATTCCTTTTTCCCCTGGCATCTAGGCCACTTATAATAATAAAAGTCATAAGGACATGAGTTTGTCCAGGACCAAGCCCCAGTCCTTTCCTGAGCTGTCTGGAAATAATTGCCTCCCGGTGGGCTTGGGTCGCCTGGATCCAGGATTTTTGCGGTTCTGAGTGTGTGCAGATTGGCTCTTGGCTCAGCACGCTGCGGTCACAGGATTCTTCCAGGGCCACCTTGTGTCATTTCTCTGCTCTTCAACACACAGTTCCCACTGATGGCAGGAGGGAGAGGAGCTTTTATTTAACCATTTCCCATTTTGGGACATAGAGCTTGTAGCCATTTTTAAGTTTCCTAATAAAAAAGAAAATTCACTGAGCGTTTTCAGAAGTTGCTGAGATTGGAGCTGATACTTGGGCTTTGTGGTTTTTCTCTTACTGAGCCTGGTGCAACCAACGCAAATTACACTGTGGACGCCCGCGCGGTTTGAGAAACAAAAAAACCCTTCGAGATACCGTATCTGCCCCAGCAAGCTGGAGACTGGCTGCCAGGCCTGCGCTGGGAGCTGATGCCTGTCCCAGCCCTGCGCCCCAGAGGACAGCATTAATCAGGTTCTCCGCCTGTTTGTTTGAAACAGAACTCAGGGGAAACCCAGAGTGACTCAGGGCCCGGGGCCTGGCTGTGTTGGGCATCAAGAAGTCGTTCCATTTGTCACAGCGCTGGGCTGGCCCAGTAAACGAGAGCACTGGGACGGAAGATTCTCTATGCAAATTCATCTCCTCTCAGGATTTGGGTCCCTGCTCAGGTTATCTTTGTGAAAAACTTTGATCTAAGTGGCTAAAATTATTTCTAAACCAATGATCAAAAGAAAAATATTTGCCGGGAGGTTCAGGTGTTGGGTAGCTCTGTGCCTTCCTTGTAGACTGGTTTTCTTGCCCCTTCCAAATAACTTAGAAAGCTCTTTATTCACTGCCACTCGTTTTTCATTAAGACTGACTTGTTTTTCTTTCTTTTCAAGCTAGGGTGCTTCAAATGAAAAAGAAAATTACTCTGAGTGGAAATGTAAAATGAGCCAACTACTTTGGAAAATGGTTTGCCAGTTTAAACACACACCCACCATATGACCCATCAATTCCACTCCGAAGAATTTACCCGAGCGTTGAATGTATAGGTCCACAAAGGGGCTGGTATGAGAATAGTCATATTAGCTATATTTATGATAGCCTCAAATTGGAAATAATCCAAATGTCTGTGAACAGGAAATAAATTGGCATAATTATCCAATAGAACACTTCCCAGCAATAAAAGGAACAAACTATTGAAACATGTAACAACAAAAATTTAAATTTTATTATGCTGAGTGAAAAAGGCAGACATAACAGAGCACATACAGAATGATTCCATTTATATGAAGTTCAAGAACATGCAAAACTAATCTCTAGTTGTAAAACTCAGAAAAGTGACTACCTCTGGGAAGAGCTATTAAGTGGATACGGGCATGGGGGGAATTTCTTAGAGTAATGAAAATGTTCCGTATCTTGACCTTGGTCATGGTTACATGCGTATATACATAAGTAAACACCCCTTGAGTTACACACTTAAGCTGTGCACTTTATTCTATGTATGTGAAAACACACACACACACACACACATACACACACACACACACACACACATACACACACACACCCTTAACTAAAATGCTTTGCTTTGTGCCTAAGAGAGTCTCAGCTATAATGCTCTTGGTCTTGGAAAAGGTTCCCTATATTAGTTGTCTATTGTTACATAATAGATTACCCCACAATTTAGTAGATTAAAACAGCAAACCTTATCTCAGTATGCAGCCTGTTTCTGTGCATCAAGAATTTGGCAGCAGCTCACTGGGTGGTTCTAGCTAAGAGTCTCCCCTGAGGTTGCAGTCATCTGAAGGCTTGACTGGGGCTGGTTGATGTGCTTCCAAAGTAGGTCATTTGCATGACTATTGACAGAGGGCCTCGATTCTTTGCTGGGTGTTTGCAGGAGGCCTCAGTTCCTCATCACATGGACTTCTCCACAAGGCTACTTGAGTGTCCTCACAACATGTTAGCTGCCTTCACCCAAAGCGAGCAGTTCAAGAGACAGCAAAGAGCAGGCCGCTCTGTCCTAACCCTAGAAGCCATACACTTTCCTGTTCTCCACATTCTGTTTATTTGGAAGCCAGTCACTAAGTATGGTTCATATTCAAGGAGAGATAAATTAGGCTCCATGTTCAAAAGGTTACTAAAAAAAATAAAAAAATTTGGATGCATCATAGGTTAAACCATGGCATCCAAAACATAACTTTGTAAACATAAGTTTACTAAGAGCTCCTCCTTGCCCTTCAACATGTTAAATAAATTCCACACCATTTTTTTTTTTAATGTGGCCCTAACTAATCAGCAAAAGATCGTTCTAATGCCGCATCAGTTTTGAGCCAAAACTGGAGGTCATTCAAGCAACCTGAAAAAAATGTCTTCTCTCTCAAGTTCTATCAGCTTCACTAGTGAGCTCTCCTGATCCATGAAAGCTAAGAAGACTTTCTCACTAGCCAAGGCCTAGGACAACCTTGGTCAGATCGGAAGGGATGCTCTTTGTGACACAATTCTCTGGTCCAGATGCAGGATGAACAGGCAACAAGCAAGCATCTACTGTAACGAGCTGGCAGGAAGAGGGAGCTACGGTTTGTGTTCCAGGCATTGTGTTCCAGATGCCATTTCCTAGCTTACCTGCGCTGCTTTGCTGAGAGAATCACTAACCATCAAAAAATTAACCTGGCTGCTATTATACCCTTAGAGCAATCCAGCCAGAGTTGCTCAGCCCCCACACAGTTTCCTGTTATTAACATCTTTAGTGTGGTACATTTGAAACAATTAACGAACCACTATTCATACATAATTATCACTGAAGTTCATACTTTGTTCACATTTTGTTAGTTTTTACCTTATGCTGTTTTTCTGATTCAGGATCCTGTCTGTAGCAACACATTATATTTAGTCATCGTGATTCCTCTTGGCTATGACAGTTTCTCAGACTGACCTTGTTTTTGATGATCTTGACAGTTTTGAGAATGGCCGGTTATATTGTAGGTTGCCCCCTCAATTGGGATTTGTCTGATGTGTTTCTCATGATTAGATTGGGGTTATGGGCTTCTTGAGAGGAAGATCACAGAGGTAATGTACCTTTTTATTACATCATATTAAGACTACATACTATCAACATGATTTATAACTGCTGACGTTGACCTTGATCACCTACCTGGCTGACGTAGTGTGTGTCAGGTTGCTCGGCTGAGAAGTTATCTCCCCACCTTTCTCTACTGTACGTTTTGCAAGTACTGTGAGCAGCCACACGTGGCGAGTGGGGAGTTATGTTCCCCTCAATATAAACATTTCTGATGCTTTGGTACAAATTGTGACATGACTCTCCAGGAAGATTGCACCAGTTTATAGTCCTAGCAGCCATGTGAAAACATATCTACTTCATGGCAAACTTGCCAGCATTGGATATGATCCTTTAGAATAAACTTCTGATTTAAAAGAGGGAAGTGCCATCTCATTTTAATTTGCATTTATAAATTTATAAAAGGGTTTGCCTATTTTAAAAATTATATGCTTGTGGGACATTTACATATTTTCTTTCAGGGTTTACTTGTATATCTTTATTTTTTAAAATTGGGATGTT